AGAGAGAGAGAGAGAGAGAGAGAGAGAGAGAGAGAGAGAGAGAGAGAGAGAGTCGTCACACGTATGATTCTTTGTGTGGTTCTCTTTCTGTTGCATATTGTATATGACAAGATCCCCAACCACTACCATCACACACACACCTTTCATGTCTCTCACACATGTACCCACTGAGGGCTGACAGGGTCGACTAAGTTCTAATAGGTAAATCAGCATGTCAGCCAAGAACTGTCTGAATATACTGCAATATATTCCTGCATTTTGACACTTTTAACTCTATTGAATAAGTGAACATCACAGTTTTGAGACTATTGTTTCTGGTTGTCTGCAAAAATAAAAAAAGGAAAAAAGAAGAGAAAACACAGATGCCACCGCACACACCTTTGCGCACTTGAACATGCACACACACACACCTCTGTAGGGATTAGAGTTGGCATCGGGCTCAGGAGGTGACACAGCTCTATCCGTACTGGGACTCAGTTCTGAATCTGAGTGTGTCGCTTATAACAAAACACACACTGCCACAACAGCTGAGAACTAATTAAATTGAAATAATGAACTTATTTGAAGACCAGAAGCTGCTTATCAATCTCCCTCTCCAGACATTCAACACATAAAACATAAGAATTTGCTTTAAAATCTTAATTAAACACTTTTTGTTTTGGGGTGTTTGAACAGTAACTCAAAGCATTTAGATCATAGCTCTATAAAAGCTAATGGTTTTGTTTTTTGTCTCTTCAGCACGGTTCTATTTATCTTTTGACTAGAATTGTTATAGACTCAAATTTCTTTCTACATTCAATCTGTTTGTGATTTACATGAATAAAATATAAGTAGGACACTGGAAACCACCTTATTATGCTCAGTATTTAGCCGCACACCTTTGCGAGCAGAAAAAAAGATGGCGTAAAAAAAAAGACCCTCTGAAAAACTCCCCACAGTTTATTGATGTTTGAGCCGAGACAAGCGCAGAGCTCCATCTGTAACTTTAGAAGACAACCTTGTTATTTTCAATAAAGCTATTAAAGGAGCTTCTTATGAGAGGGACAGGAGAGGTGAGGTGTCTCTTTGCCTTGGCCAGGAGGTTCAGAGGATGTGCAGGGAAAAAGATGCCAATCTCTACACCAAGGGATGTATTATATGACAGGTCTAATTTAATATTGCGATATTGAGAAACCTGCTAAGGCACTTCCTGTGTCTGAGGGCTGCTCAGCAATGGAGCTGGTGCTTGCTGAGTTGGTTGTTTGGGATACATTAGTGAGAAAAGGAAATGATTTCATGGTACATATTTACTAGATGAGTGATGGCAATGTGCGACTATGCAAACCTTGACTTATGTGATAGACTGTTTTATGATGTATTTGTCTAATATTAGACTCCCTTCACAATGGATGATGACTCCGCTTTGCTCTCCATGACCTATTAGACTGCTGGACCGCAGAAAATTTGAAAATCGTCCTTCCGTGTGAAGGCATTCTAGATGTTGCTACACTCAGCACTTGCCAGATAGCTTTTTTCTTTCACATCCTAAAGGTGCTCTTCTGCACCCCACTTTTAGACTTCATATATTATAGACCAAGTGTATTTTTGGAACCATAGTCTGCAGTGCACATTAGTAATATTGGGCCACCATCTGAACCAGCATCCAAGTTCCAGTTGGGTTTGTCACGTGTCACGGTCCAGCTTCAACTTCCAGGTTCAAGTTAGAGGTTTAAATGTAAACGGTATATGTGCCTGCTCTGGCACGACTCTCTTGGACCACACAAGGATGCAATGTGCTACAAAATCACACCATACATAAATAACGCTACTGCCACAAGCATCAAGTCTGGACAAGATTGTTTCCATGTCCTTGTCATGGTTGTAGCCAAGGCATGAGACTAAAGCTCAATGGTCAAGTCAAGGTGGTGTGTGTAGGTACCCTGTCGCAAATATGGTCTCACTGTTGCCAACATGCTCTACACTAGTACCACAATAATAAACCATTACTACCTCAAAACAGAAATTTTGATCATGGTCTTTTCACAACAAAGAGCCTGCTGCATTTTACTAACCACATGAAACCTCGTCAGTACCAGGCAAAGATCATCTACTTTCTGGCTTTTTAAAATTTATTTTACATCAATGTTGGGGTCTATATCCAGTGGGAATGACGTGTGAATAGATTTAAATGTTACATTTCATTTAAGATTAGACATGTTGATTTGTTGAAACACAGGTACACATCTAAGCATGGACCAGAAATGTGTGTTTGTATGAAACTAAAACAGATGATAAATTTACCATACTGCAGCATGCTTAAAGTCAGGTCTGTAATACTTGCTGCCTGTGGCATCCAGTCATCTGAGGACAGGACTTAGTCTAACAATTTCAAATGTTTAGAGCATGTAAAGCGATTATTTATCTATGAGCACAAACACACTTGCAAAGGAAATAGACACACACACGGCCACGCACATTCTACCTCACGCAAAGACTGCCAACGTGGCACACCCTGCAGGTGTTGAAAGACCATCTAAGGTCTTTACTGAGACTGTTACATGGAGGAAATTTTCACAAAACTAAGAGTGGAGCTGAGAAAACATACACACACATCATAAACTGTACACACAAACACACATACACACATCAGATATTATGCATCATTTAATCCCAGGTGCCTTGGGGAGTCTAAGGAAAATAGGGAGGCTGAACATAATTTCTGAACATGAATAACAAGAAATGGGATTTGTGTTGGATTTTTAGCCCCCCAGAGAGAAGCAGAGGGAAAATGAACATCAGGAAAAAAATTGAACAAAAAAAAAAAAAAAAAAAGAAAAGAAAAAAAATGAAATTAACAATCTTCTCCTGATTCATTTGGCATTAACAAACAGAATATATAACGGCAGTCATCAGTGAAGATGGGTAGGAGTTAATCCTGGACAGGCAGAAGAATTAAGAGCTCAGAGGGAGATTTGTTGAATTAATTTGCTGCAGGTGATTGGTGGGAGCCAGTGTGAGGTGTCCAGCTGCTGGTTGGCTGTTTGTGAAAGGAACGTTTGTGAGAATGGGCTGAGGTCTGAAGCGCTGCCATCATGGCTGCAACATCAAACACTCTGACCCGTGTAAGCCTTTGCTTTATCCAGAGGAGCTCTTTAAAATGTCTCTAGTGACGGCGTTTCTGACTGATGGAATTTAAGTGATTTAAATTGGATTGATAATGTGTTTTTTTATTGATTTTAACAGCTGCTGTCGGAGAACCATTTGCATTGGTAATAAAGTTTCACATGCAAGCACTTAACATTTCACCCATTAATCACAATACAAATGTGGGTCAAAACTATAAAATCCCAAATTTATGGCTTTAAAACATCAATTAAAAATGTAAACAGAACATTTGATATATGCAACATTTAGTTTGAAGTTTCTGATATGAAAATGATATTTCTGCTCAAATTTTCATGTCTACCATGCCTACAGAATTGGTGAAATTTTAAAGTAAATGTTGGCACCACGGTCTTACTGAAGTTGATAGATTAAAAAAAATAAAAAGGTGAGCAAAGGAAATCCAAAACAAACTTTCAAATATCAAAACTACAAAATGGAGTGAGTCACTGTTTATGAACGAGAAACGCTGGATAAATCCAAGGTCTGGCTGCTCCATCTTAACATTTTCATTACAGGG